TCTGTTCTCAAAATATAACTGGATAGCGTATACGGCAAATTTTTTGAAGCCAGTTTTGGCCTCTCAAGATGGCGGCGTATCTGTTTGATTACAAATTTAGAAATATTTGTTACGAACTTTTACATTTTTTTAATATAAAAATAAATGCACAAGCCTCGAAAAAAAAAATAAAAAAAAAACAATTTTCGGTTTTAGATAGCAATTGCTTTAGAAAGAAACACTATAATACATATTTACATAAATTTCTAAAATATATATAATTAGGTACGCGATAATCGCGATTTACGAAACCGAATTTTATGCTAAAATTTTGATCCACGCTTTTTGTAGTCTCTTGAAGAGACTACAAAAATTAGCGTAGTTGAGGAAGGCTGTGTGGAATAACAAAAATTACAAAATATACAAGTATACAAAATTACAAATATACAAAAATTAGCGTAGTTGAGGAAGGCTGTGTGGAATAACTTTTTAGTATTTGTTATCAACATAGTATATTTTTAGAAATTAGAATAGTTGAGCTTCTTCTTGTACTTAAATTTAATTATACTCACTTGCTTTATTAACGAGTTTATTGATTTCAAAACTTTGTCATACTTCGGTGATGAAGGTAATGTCCAATATATGCTGCAATATATATTTTTTAATTTTTTCATTTATCTATGCACCTGCCATATTTCATTAAAAAATTTTATTTCGCAGGCACCCTATTTATTGTCACACCTTTGGTACTTAACTTACATATGGCGGAGGTGTATTTGATTCACGGGGTTAGGGGAGGGTGGCTTTTCTTATTTAATTTCAATTAAAAAACGGCTAAAATAAATCATCATTTTAATCGCACGAGAATCAAATACAGGAGGGGTGACATAGGTAAAAAGTAAGGCCTTCTGTTAGTCGGCGTGCGGTTCTCAAATATTGACCGAAGGCCTTCGGTTGCGGGCATGCGGGCCATTTTTCAATTTTAGAAGGAAGGACTCGCATAATGTATGTAGGGTATTTCTGTTTCAGACCCGCGTTTTATTTAAATGCGCAAAGCAGAATTAAATATGGCTTCTAAAAGGAAAGTAGAGTGGTCTGATATAGCAGTACAGTTAGAATCAATATACAATATACAATATGTAATGCTTGCTATGTAACATCGGAATCAAAGTCAGCAAGGGAAGATCTTTTACTACCCATGAGTACGATCAACATTGTAAATCCATTTCACACGAGGTATCTGTTCGTAAAGAAAATGAAGCTGGGCTTTTTCAAACTAATATACTTCAGTTTTTTCCTATTGTTTTTCCAAATGTTTCAAAATTAGAAGTTGTGGCTAATTCTGGAATTGATTTTAGTATTATTCCTGAAGCTAAAATAAAATTAACTAAAATATGCGATGGTGTATTTAATAAGAGAAGAGAACTTGTAGTTCTTTTTAACTCCTATGGCATTATGGATAGTATGATAAATAATAACGCAAAATTTGTTAAAATAGATGATAAAATTTATCTTCATAGCATTCAATGTACTGCAAATCACATCAAAAAATGTGATCATTGTATTAATTTATGTAGAAAAAGATCATTCACTAGTCGATTGGAAGCAATCGGTGTAGTAAGAGATGTTTTAGAAATTATCAAATCATCTGAAATTTGTGAAGCAGACTTTGAAGCACTTAAAAAATTTGTAAAGAGCTGTAAACTTAATCATGCACGGTGTAATGAAAAAAGAAAACTGTTAGCTGCAAAGGTCAGTTTAAAAATTGAAGGTATTACTTCATTATAAAATCTGAAAAAAGAACTTTTGGCGATTGGAATTACTGTTTCAGAAACAAATCAAATTTCAAGATATGATTCCTTTTTCCAATCATTTCATAAACTTTACAAAGAAAATCCTAAACAAAATGGAACTCTACTACATGCAAAGCAGTCTTGTCTAATTTCAAAAGCAAGTGGTAAGACGAATGAAAAATTTCAAATTGTGATGTTAGATTTTTTTTTAATGCTTCGAACATTTGGTAAATGTGTTTATAGATTTGTTGCTGCAAATCTCCCTAGTTTGAGGTGTTGGTTGAGATTAACCAAAGCATCATTTCTTTTCAGAAAATGTTCACTCAAATATCCCTTAAAGACATTTGTGAAGAAGGGTTGGCTTCTATTTCTGAGCAAGTTCATGTATCGTTTAATAATCACCAAAAATCTAAATCATTATTACAACGTTGGTATAGACCGAATTTAAAAAATAAGTCTAGCATGGAAAAATTGTCTTTTTCAAGCAGAGCTGAAAACATGGGTTATGAGTATTTTTCGAAAAGCATACAACAAATGGAGACCAACAGAAAGTTGTGAAGTTCCTGTTGATAAAAAAGGCTTAGTTTTAATACATTCCACTTTAGCAGAATATGTTGTCTTAACCGGTAGCTATATGCTACCATATCAAAATGTCGAAAACAAAGTTATAAAGGACAATCAAAAAAAGTATTTTATGAAAATTGATTGCTATGAAATAACTGAATGGCTTGCTGCTGATTAAACTTTTATTAGAATTAACTTTTGAAGTTTCCTTTTGGTTTATTTTAAAACTGTTTTTGGTACTCCATTTTTAATTTTGCATTGTTTTGTGTATATAATTATTTTATAACTATGTATCAAAGAAAATTTTTTTTTTTTTAGAATGTTAAGTGGAAAAACGCAGTTCCCCACTTTACTGATCTATATATATATATATATATATATATATATATATATATATATATATATATATATATATATATATATATATATATATATATATATATATATATATTTTTTTTTTTTTTTAATATTGTTTTTTGGAACACCCTATTTTTTATATATATATATATATATATATATATATATATATATATATATATATATAATAGGGTGTTCCAAAAAACAATATTAAAAAAAAAATCTGCTCCCACCCTCTAAATGTGTTCTATATAAGGGGCCATCCATAAAGTACGTACGCAGGGATGGGGAGGGGGTTTGCCAAAAGCGTACAAGCGCAAACAAGGGGAGGAGGAGGGGTATTAAAGACAGTGAGTACGTACGCGGTTTGACTATCTCTCCTAAACATGATTTTAATTTTTTTAAAACATTAAACTTCACGTGTGTAACAAATCAGAATAGTGTTTTTTTTTTCTGACCAGTTTTTTTTTCTAGCTTCAGAAAAAAAAAAACGAGTTAATTTTAAAAAAAAACAATGCGTATGTACGCGGAGAGGTTTGTAAAAGGGGAAGAGGGTCTTAAATCAGTGATTTTACTGAGTACGTACTTTATGGATGCCCCCTAATATAAAAACACTAGATTTAACATTTTTTGCCGAACCTTGCTTTGAAAAATGGCCCTCTACTCAAAATAGATTGCCAACCATTAGTTTGACATAATGTTGCGTCTAACCTATCGTTGCGTCTGTTACACAAGTTTGAAATTTTAAAGGCTATAACTGAATATTTTGTACTCTTCTAACAATATCTTCTAGAACAAAAGCTTTCCAAAATAAAAACAATAAAAAACCTACAATCTTATAGCTTTAAACTTATTGTTAACAATATAATATAAATGTTAACACTATAAAAAGCTTTAAATTTTTTTTTAACTTTAAAAAACTTTTTAACTTTAAACTGACTGCTAACAATATCAACTTAAATGTATACGGGCAAATTTTAATTATAGCATGTTAACACAAAGGTTATTAAGAATAAAACCTTTTTTAAAACTTTTTTTTTTTTTTTTCCTTTATAAAATTATTTAAAATCTAATATATATTTTTCAGTATTCTTAGCTTCTTATTAAATGTTCTTAGCTTCTTATTAAATCCAGCTTCTTATTAAATGTTTCACTATATTTTGTTCAATAAATATGCGGAGAACTACCGTACGCTTCCATTTTTTCATTGTGCCTCTAGACCTTCTTTGCGGTCGTGCGGGTCTTTAGAAAAATTCTGAAGGTCTTCTGTTTTCGCTACGCGGTCGTGCGGGTCCAAATGTAAGCTCAGAAGGCCTTCAGATGGTAGGCTCTTCAGGTAGGCCCTTCAGATACCCTTACGCATATAGATGTCACCCCTCCTTCAAATACCTCCGCCTTACATTTTCCGAAATACTACAGTGGGAGACAGAGGGGTCTATTGAGTAATTTTTTATTTATTATTTTAATTTAGATAAACAGCAATATTTCTATTAATATTAGTAATAAGAATGACAAATATTAGTAATATGAATGCTTTGAATGCTTATTACAAATATTAGTAATATAATGCTATGATTGCCTTTTTTTAATATTAAATATTAATAACATTAACTTCAAGTTAATACACTTTAAGTTATTAACTTTAAGTTAATAACTTACACTGAGTGTAAGTTATTAACTTAAAGTTAATGTTATTAATATTTAACATGTAAGTGTAATATTTAAAGTGTAATACTTAATGTGTAAGTTACACAAGTTATGTGAGTTATTAAGCCTTAATAACTTACATATTACTAAGTAAAATTGGGTTTTTTGATAAACTATGATTTTTTTGGCTTTTTTTTTAATTTTATTAAACTTTAAATTTAGTGTTTAACAACTTTATTTAATAATTAACACTATTAATATTTTATGTTTATATTATAAATTTATGTTTATATTAATAGTATTAAATGTTTCATTAATTTATTGATAATACATTAATGGAATAAACCTTAATATGTTTATAAAGTTTGTTCCACTTCTTATACCATTTATTTTTGTAATTAAAAATTTTTAATGATTAAATTGGTTTGAAAAACCAATTTAATTAACTTCATTTATTTTAACTTCATTTCAGTCAATTGTCTGTTTTAAAAGGTAAATTATATTATTTCATTAACTATAAACAAAAAAATAAAATTTTTTTAAATTAAGTTATACTTGTAATAATGTTTGTAAATTTTTTTGTGGTTAATCTTGATTACAAGTTGAAAATTAAATTATAATTATTCTTGTTAGAATATCAAAAATTTTTGGTTATTGATGTTTGTTTGATTTTAGTATATATATATATAGGTTTTATGGGCCCAAAAAATAAAGCATTGATATTTGGAGGAGAAATCAACACTTTTTTAAATGCAAAATATAAATTGTTTAATGGTACAAATATTAAGTGTAGAAACGGACATGTACTTTTGTTTTCATAAAAAGTGAGATATATACGTAAACTGTAAAAGATGTCAATAAGTTTTTTAACTTCAACACTTGCACATATCATGTCCAAAATGTAGTGAATTTAGCAAAAAAATGCTGCTGATGTTGCTTCTGGTGAGTTACAATTTAATTAATTTATTAACATTGCAAGTGTTGTGACTTGCTAAAAAAAGTACTGCAAGTGTTGTGACTTGCTAAAAAAAGTACTGCAAGTGTTGTGACTTGCTAAAAAAAATACTGCAAGTGTCAAATCAAACATTATTTAGTGTTAATAACATTTTGTTTGTTTTTTTAGTTTGAAACAGACAAACTTTTAGTTAACCAAACCACTATTAAGCACTATATGAAAGATTTGAAGATTTATAAAGGTTGGTAAATACCTTCTTTTGAGTACTTTTTTTTACCACTATTGACTTATCGTAGTCACTAGTCACTCTGTAGTAGGAGAATATTTTAACAACTAATTCTCCAATTAATTTAAAATGTTACTCTTTTTCAGGCTAAGGTAAGGGGGGGGGGGGAAGGCATCTCTCTTGACAATGGATGCAACAAAAATGTAACTTTTAAAGAGTAAGATATATTTTTTACTTCTTTGTTGTTGTACTTTAAATAACCAATCAGATATTTCTTAATTAAAATTTTGTTTTCAGTTATTAATTTTAGAACCTTTTTTATAAAGACAAAAACTTTTTTTGGGATTTAAATAAACAGTAGTTGTGTTATTTTAATTTTTTTTTAGTTCGAGGGGTCGGGGGAGGGTATATGCCCCCTCCACCCATACGTTGATGTAAACACCACTTGTATATGAAAATTCTTGTAGAAAATAACTTTATATTGCATACTAATTGAATTCATTTTCGTAAAGATAAAAATATTTATGAAAACAAATCATATTTGATGCTAGGGTGTATCAAACCATCACCACCACACCCATCTCTATTATTTAAATACGCCTCATATACTTTGGTGGTTAAATATAAATTTGTATAAATTTTTTAGTATATTTAAGCTGCTAATGTCTTGAAAAAGATCTTTTTTCTGAAAAAAATGTTCAGTTTCATACGGATAAGGTGGTGGTTTGGTACCCCCTCTGTCCATCCGATACGCCCAGTGGTAAGTGTTTAAGAAAAATATGTAGGCCACTCTTACATCTATCTTTTGACGCCAAGATATTTGTATTTTGACAAGAATTGACAAAGTTATGACAATTTAAGTGAAGAAAAACATAATTTTGACCACAGTTTCTTCACCAATTCTATATATCAAAAAATTGGTATTTAAACCGTCATAGCTTTTAAACCAATTGTTTGATTTTGATAATTTTTTCACCTTTAAAATACTGTATTGATCCTTTTCCCAATGATATATAACAGTGAGATATTTAAATAATTTGAAATTTTTACTCATGTACCTAATTGTAAATGCAATTTAATAATAAATTAAATTATTCAAAAAATAATTTCTTTTTTTTTTCTCTAATATTTATAAAATTCATTTGTTTTCTTTTATTTTTGACAAATTTATTAGCCTTATTTAATTATTTTCTATCATAGTTTGATAAAGCCATATAAAATCAATATTGGTTTCACCGATAGAAACTTAAATCGCCGCCATCTTAAGAGGCCATTTTGGCTTCAACTTTTTTCAGAAAAAACAATAAAATCCGCCATCCAGTTATATTTTGAGATCAGTGACCTAAACATTCAACTCTAAAACTCAAAAACTAAAATTGCATTGCATTTCTGATTTTTGATTTCAAATTAATGATCCACAGCAGTCCGGAAGAGCAACAACTTCACATGGTTTTATTATAAACTTTGCTTTTAATTTTACTTTAAAAATCAGTTACATTTTGACTTCCTGAAGTCGTCGATTTACACAATCCTAAGTTAAAAACATTATTGATGAGCTCAAAAGCAGTAAGAATAATTGTTCTAATATTAGATAACTGATTTCTCATAATTATATATATATTTTTGTTCTTTTTTTCTAACCTTAGAAAGTTAGTTTAAGCTTATGACTTGAAATCTAAAATGTTATTTACACTTCTTATCTACCTTGTTTTAGATACATTATTTATGCATAAATATATGTAAAAAGTACTAAAGAACATGTAATATAGCTATATTTAATTAAGGTAAAACACAAGTACTCCATAAAAATGTATTGTCATGTTTTTTAGTGTCAATATATTTTCAAAGCAACATGGTACTTTTTTGGTTTCTTAAATATTTACTCGTAGTTTTGTAAAGTCTAGTACTACAATTTTTTAAAAATATATAAGAAATAAAACTGCTATTGGAATATGTTTTATTTATTCTAGTTAAAAATACCTATGGAATGTTTTAAGTTTAATTTTATTACCTACAAGTAAAATATATTAAAAATTATTATATTAAAAATTTTATTTTTAATATACCTTCAACTTTAGCTTAAAATACTGCGGGCTGAGTGGTCAAACCTTGAAAAATCAGCAGAGTGAAAAGGTTAGTTACCAATTTAAAAATTGTAATCAATTTTTTTTTAGGTTCGAAAAAACTAAAATGAATTTGGATCATTGTTTTAAATTGTTGATAGCTTTGTTGTTTATATCTTGGTTGAATTTTCAAATGTTGTCTTGTTTGAATTTTCAATCATGGCTGTTGCCATGATTGAAAATTCAAACAAGACAACCATTGTCACAAAGGCTTCTGCTCAAAAAATGTGATAGTCTTGATTGTTTAAGTCCATCGCGTTTAAATTTTTTTTTTTTTAAAAAATGTAACCAAAAATGTACTGATTTAACCAATCTTTGTTACATTATTTGTAACAAAATGGACTTTAAATGCAGTCAAAATTGCGATACCATCTTACATTCTTTAGTTATGCATAACTGCGTAACAAAAGAATGTAAGATGATTGGTTATCATACAAATAAATGTATCCAAATAGCTGGGGCTATTAATAACTATGGAAGTCACCATCTTAGATGCACTACTGATTCATTAGAAGTAAGTTTTTTAATTTTACAAATTTACATATTTACAATTTTAATTTACATTTTTACAATTTTTAAAATTACTAATTCATTTGTTGAAGAACTTACAAAAATGTTTTTATATATTCCACAAAATGTACGTATTATTTTAAAGATTTAATTCCATGTATAACTTACAAACAAGTATCAATGATATTTATTATAAGGAGGAGGCTCATATTAATTTTAATGTTTTATCTTGTGTAATGTATTGATAATAAACTTGAAGCATGTTCAATTTTTTAATCGATTTGCCTATAGACTTTTAAAAAACTAAGAAAACAGCATTTAAATTTATATTCCGGAATAATGGGCTTTCACGCAGCCTCTCTGTTAGCGCAGCGTTATTTAGCCACTTTTAGAGACAAGTTGATTAGGAGTTGTCAGCATATCACACGTTGTCAGCAGGCAATCATCGATTAGACAATACGCTAAAACTATTTATCTTTTTTTATTTTACATATTTGTTAAATTTTATTTATTTATTTTTTCAAAAATTCATTTCTGATCATTGACTAATTAAATAGCTGAAAAAACAGCTGAAATGGTTTAGCGTAATTTACCCTAGACTACTGATCTTACAGATCCTACAAGAATCTTATAGTATGAGTTGCACAAGTCCCTGCATGACCTACAAGAATCTTTTTGAAAGATCTTGTAGAATTTGAAGGAATTCTTATAGGATTTAAGGTAAATTAAAAATTCTTATAAGAATTTTTAACTTACCTTTATTAAAGTATATTTTTAATTGTGTTATAATTGCAAATTTTAAGGTTGATATTTTAGCTTGAGGTTTTTAAAAAACTAAAAAATACTGATTTTTTAAAGAAATTGAAATGACTGACTGGGGGTTGTCAGGTGCGATTGACCCCCTTTTAAACCAAATTCTCTTAAATTTACGCAAATTTTAACATCAAAATTGAGCAAGATATATATTTGCATATCAAAACGGCTTTCATAAGCAACCCTCACAAAAAATTTTAACAGTACGAGCCTGTATATATTTTATTTATATATTTCAATAAAACTAGTTTTAAATTATTTTATATTTAAAATATATTTTTGTATTTTTAAATTATTTTATATTTAAAATATTTCTTTATTTTTCTACAAATTCAATGCAGTTGTTTAGCGCAGTGGATAGCACGCTTTTCTAAAAATCTAGCAATCTGGGGTTGGTAACCCACCTCTATATAAGCTTTTACATTGGTTAGGAAGTATGCATAAACTTCTTATTAAGTTCTTCTCTGCGGTACTCTGTGATAAAGCCGTAAGGTACCTAACGCACTAAAAAAAAAAAAAAAAAAAAAAACATTTTTTCTTTTTACAAACCCTTTAAGATACCTTAAAGGCTAATCACAGGATTTCTTATCATCCTATAGGATTTGAAAGATAAATAAAATCTTATGATCCTATAGAATTCGAAAGACAACTAATATATTATGAATTCTGTAAGATAGTATAGGAATATTGCAATCCTATAAGACTTATAAGTTCTCTGTAAGATAGTAAACTAGGGTAACAAGTTGAGCTTGTCATAGAAGACTTTTGTTGTTAAACTAACAAGGAAAATTTTAACATTAGATTTTTTTTTTTAAACTGCGATATCTAGATTACATCAAATCTCTTATTTTTGAATCCTATATGGTTGCTGTATTATCAGGTTTGAACAGAAAGCCCGTGTTTGAGGACAGAAACAAAAGTTATTTTTCTCAATAATGTCATACAGAATCTATGATTGGTTTGTTTTTTCACATCACAATTATTTTTTAACTGGAGAATGCAATTTCGAGGCTGCAACTACTAAATGTTTGGTCATTCAAAATTTGAAGGTCAAGTAATAAATAAGTTTTTTTTTTAATGTCTTTGCTTGCAAGTAGGGCTGGTAATTTTGCTAGGTCTGGGTCTAGGCCTGGTTTCTCAACAGCTGTAGTTATATACGCAACCGCAAAATTATTCAAGTTATAAGTTTTCTGAGATGTTGAAAGAAAATAAAATAAAATTGTTTGCCTAATATACATTACTAGGGCTATTCATGAGTCGGGCCTAGACCTGACCCAACAAATTACCAGCCCTACTTGCAAGAGCACATGAAGTTGCATCTACAATACAAACTGTCAAGAGTGTAAATGAATTTGTATCGATTCAATTGATGCAAGAAGCGTAGAAAGAAATAATCAACATTGTGCAAAAAATGCGACAATAAAAGGAACATTGCACTGATTGAAGTTGAAAGAAATAATAGACTTGAAGAAAATAATTGATTGAAGTTGAGTAGATGAGAAGATAACAGACTGATTTCGAAGAAGATTATGATTTAAAGTTCAATGCTTATTCAAAGAAATATACAACAGATTTATTTACCACAATTTAACAGAATATTTTTCAGCCTCTAAGATTAATAATTATTTAAGCCAATGGTCATTGATTTTGAAGTTGATCATCAAAAGCTGGTCAGAGAAGACGATTCAGGACACAAAAATTTTAGGTTTTATCTAGATGAAGAGATTTTGAGATAAATGGCGAGAAAAACGAGTTGCAACAAGAAAGGGAAGGTTGCATAAATTGAGTATGTTAACAGTGCATTGTTTTTTGCAGCCAGAAAATATTTTGATATTCTTGCAGATTATTGTCATTTAGTCTTTCCTCTTAAAGAATATTAATGAATAGTTTATTAAAAAAATCTTTATCTTTAAAATCTTATCAAGTCCTCAGCAGGGCTGTCAACATGGTTTTTGAGGTGGGGAAGCACAATCGTCAACTTTAAAAAAAAGTCTTATATATAGAAGTTTTATAAAAAAAATAAACTCTTTTAGAAAAAAAGTAGAGAAAGCCCTCCACACTTTTTTTCCCCCACTAACCCTTCCCCCTTCCCCCCGCAGTGTGATGTAATTTATGGACAACCCCTATCTCTAAGAAAGTTTGCAATACCTTTGCGACCTTTTTTAAAGGACCGTGCCTCCGGCCTCCCCTTTTCCCTTGGATTTGTCAGCTCTGCTAAGATGTGCTTTTTTTAATAGAACTCAAATATCTCAAAACAACAAAAAATTAATCACAAAATAAAAGATAGTAAAATTAAATTGTATCTTTAATGACTACACTAAAGGCCAGGGGGAGGGGGCTTTAACCCCGGGCGCCAAGTTTTAATAGGGCACCAGCTGTCAGAATGGTAAAATCTTAGAAAATTAGTTGTTTTACGTCATTATGATGATAATTTATATACTAATGTCATGTTCAAATCATAGACTAGCTCATAAACTTATTAATTATCACCAAGTTTTTTGCAGCAAAGCTTTTAATTATTTGTTTTTTTCTGTCTATAAGTATACGCGTGCATATATTTTTTTAAATCGAGAATGTAAAAATTAGAATTCATTTTATGGTTGACAGAAGAAAGTACCAGTTAAAAAACGATCCAAGTCCAATTGCAAACTATACATAATTATACGCAAATTATTTATGTGAAAATGTTGGTTTAAAAATAAGTCACATTCATCAGTTTGATCCTTTTTTAACATAGCATATTGATAAGTTTGGCAATATAGGAAAATGTTCAATATCGTACCAATCTTTTAATATACATGAGCAGTTCTTAGCTATAATGGCAGACAATGATATACGAAAAATGGTAAAAGAAACAAAGGAAGCTATTATCGATATTTCTCCTGACATTAGCCATGCAGATCAATTGTATTTATTTTTCGATAAGTTCAAAAGAATGGCTGTTGGGTAAAAAGATTTTTATGTTATTACCCAACTCTGGTCAAAAAATCTGAAGAATTAGCAGATGCTAGATTCTTGCTAGCAGGGCTGGTAACTAGCTAGATTCAGAATTACATAGATCAGATATAAACAATTGTTGTGGTCAAAGTTTATATAATTTGTCAACATGTTTAGTAGATATACAGGGCTTCAAGCTCAAATTAAAGAAATTATCCCTTTAGCTACATTGCTTGGCACCATGCTTAGTACCATGCTTGGTACAATGCTTGGCACACTCTTTAAATCTTGTTGGTAAATGCGGTGTAGATCATTGTAATTTTTAAATATGACTAAGCATATTCGCGTTCACAAACTTTTCGAGTTGCCGTATAAATGCTGGAGTTGAGGTATTGTGGTGTTGAGTCACCGTATATATGCTGGTTTTGAACAAAAATATGCGGAGAATGATGTCAATTAAAAAGACTTATCATAACATTCTTATTTACTTAATTGTTTTGTTCGTGTTTTCAACACCTGTTTGATTCAAACGTCAATTTATCTTCAAAACCATTTTATGTGCGTTTTGAATTTTTGGTTAAAGGACTTTTGGTATTTAAATTGCGTCATACGCTTATTCTTAAAGAGAAATTCAAGCGTTCAATCATGGTGTTTTAAAAATAAATTAAATGTTCTTTTGTTTTAAACTATTTATAAAGAGTTAGATTTAAAAAGTTTTTGTGGTACTGTTAAACAAAATGACAAGAATAT